CCCCCTCCCCGCCCCCTCCTCCGTCGTCTCCCGAACGATTGCTAGAACGTGCGTGACTCGCCACCTGTTTGCTATTGGGAATTCCATTCGACAGGAAGAAGAAGCGAGGCCGCGCGAAGAAAACGCGCGGCCCGCTCGAGGTATCATCGAAACCGCACGGTCTTCGTTATTCGATGATGCGGTTGAACTTACTCGATCACCACCACCACCGTCCCTCTTTCGTCGCGTCATCTTCGCTGACTAGCTGCCCACCGATGGCGATCGAAAGGGACTCGCGGGACTGGGACCTTCTTTTTCTGCGCCTCGAGAGGTGGTAGCGCGAGGTTGGCGCTTGTACGTCAAACTCGCGGCCACCTCGGTCCCGTGCCGTTCCATTGAATCGTATCTGTCAATGGGGAACAATATGGTGGCGAGAAAGGCCGGAGGAAGAGGGCCCATGTGCCGGGGCCTAAGAAGTAAGAAAGAGAGAGGGAGAGAGGGAGGAAGAGAGACAGAGAGAGAGAGAAAGAGAAAGGGAGGAAGAGAAGCAGAGAGAGAGAGAGAGAGAGAGAGAGCAGCTCGAGCCACCGAACGCGCGCCTCGGCAGCCTCGCCTAAGTTATGCAGATTGTTCCGAACAGTTGGACTTTAATGCCGGCATAAATCCTTTGCCACTTAACTTTATACTTGGAGAGTAGAATGCGTTCCCGCCCTCTCAGCGTGGTCGAGCCTCTCTTCCACTGCCTACTCTTGCTTACGCGTTCTTCATCGATTCCTCTTCTCGCGCCACCGTTTATCCGTCCTCTCTAAGAGAGAAGGGGGGAGAGAGAGAGAGAGAGAGAGAGAGTGACAAAGAAAGAGAAAGAGAGATGGACGGAGAGAAAGAGGGAGGCGCGCGCGCTCTAGTATATTTTATTCTGAATATACCGGGGCCTTTTTCATCCTGTAGAAAAATGTGTGATTGTAGGTACGAAGTACGTCCGCCTTTTGTCGAGAGGGCCAATGCAGCCTCTCTCGACTTGCTACTTCTATGCTTACGTACACAGAATGGAACCGCTGTACTTCGTATTTTTATCAGGACACCCCTCTTCTTCGGGAATCTTTCCGAATAGTTGCGCGAGAGCTTCTTGGACGCGTTACGGCACGTAGCCGCACCTTGCGACTTTTTTCTGCCGTCGCACGTGGATGACCTTGGGGAGGAGCGAATCCATCATAAAGCCCGTTGAATTTCGAGACATCGGATCGCGAGACATTCGCGAGCCAACGAGCGGAATGAAACTCGAGCTGAAATCGTCATCGCGAATGAAACCCGAGAGCCCGTATTGCCGACAGGATTATCATAGATACCGCGTGATGCTACTGTCGTCGAGTGTCCTAACGAGCCCCTCGCCATCCCACATTGTAATACAATGTGGCTGGGCTCCGATCGCGGATAAAGCTACAGCAGATGAGCAATTCACGTTACCGTAAACCCGGGGTAGTTTGCAATCGTAACATCATTCCGTGATGACCCGGCTACAAAGGAGCATCTTGAACGTCCGCAGATACTGCCTGATACTCGATATCGCCGTCGATACCGAGTATCTTAAGCAGCTACTCGTTACTCGTAAGCCTGTGTCGCGGAATTATATAGCGAGAATGGGATATAAAGGACGGACGTTCAACGATCGAGGCGGAAATAGCTCGACGTCGTAACATTACCATCGGCAATTTAATAAACACGAAATTTGTGTATCCATGAGTGAAAATGCGATGAAATATTCGTGACCTACATTGATGGAAGATTATAGTTACTTTCGATGCCAGCCATATTTTATAATAGTAGCAACATAATATGTAACACAAGTGATATTTACTGAAAAAATGATTCTCTTAAATACCTTTATGGTTAAAATAGAAAAGTGGGTATGGTTGGCACTGAAAATAATTATAATTTATCAGTGTATGTTAAATTTAACGAATTTCTATTATAGTCGAATATGTTATACCCTACTCGAGATACGGCCGAAACAATATTCGGCTGAATCGTTAAAAAATCTCGGATAAAAAGTCTCGGATTTGCAGCGTTCTCTCTTACAATCCCTTGCTCTGTGCATTCGATCTTCCCGCTTTATCATGGCGCAAGCGTACGATTGACTGTGCCTTTTACGGCTTGGAAGTGCCCGAACACGTGACGGAAAGGCCTTCCATTTTGATGACGCGACACCTGCACGCCGGATATAGAGTGTGTGACTCCGAGCTGCCTTTATTTTCTGACAGGTATCTTTTTATCTTCCGAATGTTGAACAATTATAAATCTAAGGGTAAAGTGCCAGTTATATATAAATGAAATATTGTCAAATATTTGTTAAATATTGTCAAATTAGTTAATGGAAATGAGAGTGATCTTGCGATGATTAACCGGCAGGTACGATGCGGGGATACAATTGGGGCATCCTTATATTGAAATCAATGGGGCGACAGTCAGTGGTGACGTCAGTGGTGTTGCGCAGTTTGGCAGGAATATACGTATGTGCCGCGCACGTAACTAGCATGCTGGTCACTTATCGTGGTGAGTTGGTATCGTTATACCTACGAGACACGCTGTTTCGGGAGTTTTAATATTACGTGAAGAATACAACAGTGGATTTAAGAAGCGACGCAGCGAAAAACATAGAGAAATTATTCACTCACGGCCTCCATATATCGATATAAAACGGACCTAGTGATCATCAAGATAACTGCCATAGGTAGATATTATTATATTTATGACATTGGGATAATTTGTTTACTCGTGAGTAAGTACGTAAATTAAGCGGATAATTGCTATCAAACCACGTGAATTCATTACATTATTGCTTCAAGAAGGCAGAGGGAATGTTTAATTGATTATATGCCTTTAGAAAATATAGATCAGGACTATCAATTTAATTGATGAAACTTCAATGGCGATGTAAAATTAAAATTAGTTTTCTCGTGCTAGTTTTTAACATAAGAATAGGCGTTATTTCAGGAAGAATCTGCCGCAGCTGCATTGAAAAAATGGCATCGCTGCAGAAACTCTATAAAAATCCATTTACGATCTGCATCGAAGGCAACATTGGAAGTGGCAAAACAACGTTTCTACAGCAGTTCCATAAATTTAACAATGCCACGATTTTGCCGGAACCAATGCATTTGTGGCGTAATATCGAAGGAGTCAATTTATTGGTGAGATTCTAATAAGGTTCTAATAAGATTCTAATGTTTAACATGTATCGTATGTTTGAAACGTACGGACGCTTATATCATCATTGAAGAATGTTGTCTTTGTACGCATCTACTGGTATTCTATTGTGCTAACCAATTTTAATTATTGACTTGTTTCAACTAACCCCAATTCGTGATACTCAATTATAAACCTCATTCATGCTGGTGTTGGCGGATAAAGAATACTCAATTAATTAAATTAATTGATACTTCCAGGATCTTCTGTACAAGGAACCAAAAAGGTATTCATTCCTGTTTCAATCTTACGCTCAAGTAACCAGGTTAGAGTTACATACTACGAGCACACCAACGCCTTACAAAATCATGGAAAGATCCATATTTAGTACAAAGTGCTTCCTAGAGAACATGAAACGGACTAATAAAATATTCAACGTGGAAGCCACAATTCTGGAAAAGTGGTACGATTGGAGCATAGAAAATGCTAATATCAAAACAGACTTGATAGGTAAATATATTTGTAAATTATCGAATTTAAGCTAAATTAACTATATTTTCATTATTATCAACTAATTTATCAGGGAGATTTCTTAACCGATTTCAATTTAACTTTGGCAGCACATTTCATTTTATTGCTACAAGAGTCCAAATATTAACTATTTAAAATAAAATGTCCAGATAAATTTCTATAGATACACTCATACTGCCACATACCAGCTCGTATTACTCGTATTCACACTTCAAAAAATTTCCATATAAAATCCAACTTCCTCCTTTCCTCCGATATACTATCACGTTTTGTTTTACGATGTAGTGTATCTAAGGACAACGCCGGAAATTGTGTACCAAAGGATGCAAGCACGCGCACGAAAAGAAGAGGAATCCGTGCCGTTAGAATACCTGAGGCAAATTCACGAAATTCACGAGGACTGGCTCTACAGACAAACCTTATTCTCTTTACCGGCTCCAGTCATGGTCATAGACGGTAACAAGAGTCTCGAAGAAATGGTGCCACAATTCGAAAAATGCAAAGACTGGATACTTAAGAAAGAAATTGACAGCGTGCCGGATACCAGAATAGTTATTCAATAAAGTATACTGACGAAATAACGTAAACTGACGAAAAAAAAAAATTAATTCAATCTGGACGCCGTATCAAAGTTGCATTTAGTGTTCTGCCGTATTAAAACTTGCATTTAAGCAAACTTGTGACTTACCTTCAGAGACTGAGATGATACTGTGTTCCGGGAAGGTGGGCTCATTGTCATTGACGTCAATAACCCGTATGCTCAATGCAGCCGTACCGGTTAATTGAGGATTCCCTTGATCGGTCGCGATGATTGTCAGCCTGTATTTTTCACGAATCTCACGATCAAGGACTATATTAGTCCGGACGACTCCGCTGTATGGCGGACTTATAGTAAAGGCATTGTCTGGATTGCCGTCCACGATATGATACAGGATCCTGCTGTTCATTCCTTGATCAGCATCGCTCGCTGAAAGCTAAACAACAAAGAAAATGGATGATACAGCTGTGCATCCGGTGTTCACTTCGCATAGATCATTATAGCTCTATTTATTTTTATATCTATATTTTTTAGACGAAAAATAAATAGACTTTTATACTTTCTGATTGTCTAACTGTATCTGTACACAAGAATATGCCCCCGAAACTATCGTATCATAACCTATCAACTAAGAATATATTCCCTACATCTTTTATTAAAATATACTTCTTATACTGTTAATTAACAAATAAGTAAAGAGAAAAATGAACAAGAACAGATTAACCTGTCTTGCTCGCGGCAAATGCGAATGTGACGTAATTTGTTTTCAACACAATTACTGATCGATTTCATACTCATTATTGAGAGTGTAACAAGTGAAGGCCTTCGCCTTCTTGTGCTCCTGCGTCATACTTTTTTCTTCTTTTCGTAATTTCAAAAGATTTGCGATTACTTCATTCTCTACAGTTCAAAGGTTAATAGCTTACTTGAGAATTTAATTGAAGTAAAAAAATATCAGTGAGGAAATACTAATCATTATTGCGATTTTCGACATCGCGTACATACGACATATATATATATATATATATATATATATATACATATACATATATATACGACATATATATAGTTCTGATATATATATCAGAACTACAGGTACATAAACAGAAGTGCGACTTCACCAAAACATAAGATTCCCTTACCCTGACAACGAAGTCCCCTTTGGTATTCCCCTCGAGCACCGTGGCCGAATACTGCGTTTGCGTGAAGATCGGCGGGTTATCGTTGACATCGGACACCCTGACGATCACTTTAACGTACGCCTCGAGGACATCCGGACCCGCCGTTCTAGCCACCACGTTGAGAATATGCCTCGAGCTTTCCCTGGGCTCCTCCTTCGGCTGCTGGCCTTCCAGAGATCTGCCCCACGAGTTACTCGTGCGCCCTGCGTCAGCCGGCAGCTCGTCGCCGGGCTTCACCGTTAAGTCGTTCCAGAGTTCCGCGTCCAGCCTGGTGGGATCGTTCACGTGCAGCAGACCGCTACCTTCGTTGATTGCGAAGGTACCGAAGTCGTTTCCCGACGCGATCGAGTAAGAGACGCGCTGCCTTCTACCGTCGGTTCGCACCGCAGTGATCTGGACGATCTCCGTTCCGACCGCTGCGTTTTCCTGAACGACGACGTTGTACGTCTCGTTCTGGAACTTGAGAGCCGGCGCCAGGTCCGACAGATCGCCGATCTGCAGCTCGATCAAACCCTTGGCGCTCTTCGGCGGGTTCCCCCTGTCTCTGGCCAACACTTCTAGGCGATAAACCTTGCCGTTGTCCTGCGACAGCGACAAACTCGCCGTTATCATGCCCGTGTTCGGGTGGATTCGGAATTTCGGCTTCTCCTCCTCGTGCAAGAGCGAGTACACGATTTCCCCGTTGGCGCCCATGTCAGCGTCGGTGGCAGACACCCGCAGGATGTTCTGACCCGGCAGCGTGCTGAGCGTCACGTGCGTGCGAAAGGGATACTCCTCGAACACCGGCGCGTTATCGTTCACGTCGCTGATGTTAATCTGAACGGGTATCGAGGAGCTTTTTGCGTCATACTTGCCGCTATCCATGGCGACTACGAAGAAGGTGTAGCTGCTTTGCCGTTCACGGTCCAATGAACTATATCGAGCAAGAAGAGATGAGAATTACTTATTGTATGAGTAACTTCGCGAACGGGAACGCGGGATCGGAGGAGGAGATATTACGAACACGGCGATTATTCTTCTTGGAATTTGCTTTTCGGGCGATTCGTTTCCGGCACGGTTAAATCAAATTCGTGATCCTTTAATTACAGCTGTGACAATTATATTATTTTCTCCGAACGAACGATTATTCGAACGGCAATTGCAGTTTGGGAAAATCTAACGTCCACGTTCACCATTAGAAATGATTTACGTGTTTCGCAAAATCGTATCTTAAAACAATATTATTATGAAGTTACGTAAACGTAAACAAGGAGGGTTCCCTGCGGAGCACCTTCGTGGTACAGCATGACTCTCGCAATAACTCTTAATAAGCGTGGGATAATGATCGGACGCCGGTAGTGCATGAGTCCGATACGCTTATTTACGATTGCGCGAGGCCAATTCGAGAATGTTCCGCAGTTATCTTTTGCCGTAAATCTGCTGATTGCGAATTAGAGTTCGCTCTCGCGTCTCTGTCTCTGAATGAGAAAAGCGATCGTGTCGTAACAAATCTAAGAATAGAGAAGGCGGTATTACAGTCCCCATTTACATTGTGTGTATTAACTTTGTCAATAATCAATATTTTAAGTTACAAACTTAACGATTACATTCGCCAAAGTGTGGTTCGACCAATTCTAGGCTGAAAGTTAAGAAAAGAATAAGATTCACGATTAACGCCGACCGTTATGAGCACCGAAACGAAGTCGGAACGACCGCGGTTCACAAGTGAAGATGACCTCGCACTCTTGAGAGAGATTGTATAATTGAGATCAAAAGCAGCAACGTCTAATAAGTCCTCCATTTTATATTAGGGAGCTCCAGCGATACTGTCTTTCAGATACGGTAAATGCTAAAGCGCGTTCCGGTGTCCATTGCCAGCACTTCGAGTTTATAGAATACGCAGCACAAACTGTAGATTCGCAGTACTGGTGGTGAGTATCGAAATGCACTTTAGCGTTTACCGTATCTGAAGGACGGGTATTGCAAAAAACCCCCTATTAAGGGGAGCCGTAATACCTATAAAGGCCCACAATACCACCTTCTCCTCCTAATATTTTGTGAGAAAATAAGATTATCTCTCTGCCAATCTCACCGCGAATGGGCAAACAACTAAAGTATGTGCACGGATTTTTATACGAAACAAATACAAGCGCGCCGCGCATTAAGGGGGCCGACTCTGATAAAAATGATCCGCACTCCAATTATCTCTACGAGATCGGCGTTGACACGTCATCCCCGGTACCATCTCGACGTCCTTGCCACCGGTTCGCGCTATTTATCGAGTCGTTCTAACGAGAACTGGTCCTCGTTTGACCCGCGTGCTGTATCTACCGGGTGGTCCAGCAGCGAAAGAGGGAAAAATGTTTCTGTATACCTCCCGTGCCGGGATGTCGCGGAACGCGGCCGGCTTCCAAAGGTAACACAGGGACGACCGTTGCAGTGAGAGCAACAGCAAGCGACGCGACACGAAAGCCGGGTCCGCGGCTACCGATCGAAGGAAGAAGATACCAAAAACAGAGGAAGAAAGAAAGAAAGAGAGAGAGAGAGAGGAGGGGGAGGGGAGGAGAGGAAGAAAGCGACGATCGGATGCATCGTTGGAAAAAGAGCGAGGGGAGGAGGGACGCGCGCGCGAAAGAGAGACACACGCGCAGCGAAGGAGAGCGGCCCGATCTGGTTTTGCATATCAGACATTTTGCCGGCTGAAATAATGCATTGAAATGCCACATGGCGTCTCGCTGAAATGACACACGGCTGTCGCGGCGCGAAAGTATGCGCTCCTTCTCATGACTACCGACACTCTCCCCCTCCCTCTCCTCTCCGTACACCGGTGCTTCTCGGCCGACACCGCGACTCGGCGGCGCTCCGTACGGCTCGTACGTTGCAAACGCGCCGCCGTCTCGGCGGAGACGAGAGCAGAAGTGACAAAGAGCGGAAGCAGAGGCAAAAAGCGCGTAAACGGCCGCGATCGAGAGCGAAATACGCCGCAATCATAAAGCAAGATTGGCACCGCCGGGGCCTAATTGCGGCGGGGATTAAAGCGCGAATCGCGCGAGTTACGCGGGGAGAGACGGGAGGGAGAAGGAGAGAAGGACGTTGGGCGGTGTCGGTCATGCGAGTTTGCGGCGACCTCGTCGGGATGGTAATGCGATCAAGGCAAATTACATATTCCCCTGGCGTGGAGGTGATTTATCGAAATAACTCGGCCGTGTCGTTCCGCGCCAGACAGCGGTACGGTTTTCTAATCGCCGCAGTACTACCGCGCCCGTACCAACCGATCTCTCGTAAAAGTTAATGTTTCGTATGCAGACGCTCGATATCGAATTCGATTCCGCCGAGTTGGTGCGCGCACTCACACTCGCGCAATTAGCGTTCGGCTTTTCCCTCGTGCACCACTGCGTCGAAGACCGTATCGAGCGCGCGGTTAACGATCCACCGGTGCGCGCGTTCCGCTCCGGGATCAAGGTTCGCGGCAGCTCGCAGCGAAATCGTCCATTAATTAACAAACCACGACCTTGCTGTTTGGAGGGATGGACGGAAGCCACGGAAAGTCTTCGCTTTAATGACGTCCCGAGATATCGGTTTATTGCGCGTGTAATCATAAGAGACACACGTACACACACGTAGGTCGAGAGGATCGGACGGGGCGCGGAGAGAAGCGAGAATGAGCGAACGGACGAGAGAGGGAGAAAAGGGAAGGAAGAGTATCGCGCGGGTTGCGCCGACGGGTTATGCATACGAAATCGTTTAATCGGCCGTGGTGCGTCGTTCGTAGAAGCGCATCGACTGACTTTATAATTTTACGACGTTCCTAGACCGTCGGCGCTGTTCCTTCCTCCCTCGCCGCCCCCGAGCGATGAGGTCTTTCTTTCTTTTCTTTCGTTGCGAGCGAGTCACCGTTCACTCTCCCGTGTGCGCGTGTGTGTCTTTACTTCCCGCTTTACGACGTTATACTACCGGCGTAATATCCCCCTCGGTGATCCTAATCGGATGTGCAATAAAGGTCGCGGTAATTAACGCCAGGATGAAATTAGTCGGCTGGTAGCGAAGCGAGATCGCGAAGCGAGACTCTCATGCAGCCGAAGGGAGGCCGGGAGAGAGAAGGAGGTAGGAAGAGAGACTGGGAAAAAATGGAAAAGAGAGAAAGAGGAAAGCGGAGAAGATCCCGGAGGAGAGGGGAAGAAAACGATAGAGCGATAGAAAGCGGAGGTGCAAAAGAAGACGAGGAAACGCACGTGAGAAAAGAAAGGACTGAACGTGTACACTCACCCGGCGGTAGTGATGACGCCGGTCAGGTTGTCGACCCTGAAGAGCCAACTGGTCTCCTCGGCGATGGCATACGTGATCTTCCCGTTTACACCTTGGTCCGGATCCGTCGCCCTCACGGACATGACGCTCGAGTCCGGCGCGATGTCCTCCGAAATGGTCGTCCCGTAGTTGGTGAGATAGTAGTTCGCCGGGTAGTTCGATCCGTACTGGAAGCCACCGTTGGTCATGTACGGTTGTTTCGTCAGGGCGAAACCACCGTACTCTGAACTCGGCGAGTTGCCGCGCGAGTGAGACTCCACGTATTGATCCTGCGCGAAGGACGGCGCGTTGTCGTTCACGTCCAAAACGATCACGGTGATATTGCACTGCGCTTCCAGACTGGGCCTCCCCTTGTCTTTGGCGGAAATCGTCAGGATGTATTTGGACACGGTCTCCCGGTCCAAACTCGACATCGATAACACACCGGTGGACGAGTCCAGCGTGAACTTGTTCCCGATGTTACCGCCTGAAGTCGATAAAGGAAACATTTTAATTTCTAATACATATGTTTGCAGAGTTGAAACTGTACAACACGTTTATTATCAGAGATCGTTTGGAGGAGTCCTCTTTACAGACTTTGCATGTTCTTTTCCACGTAATTGTGTAATACTTAGTTCGGTTTTATGAAAATAAATGCAATGATAATTTCTGTATTTTATCATTAGACGACACAGATAAATAACTCGAGAAAAGGAAGAAGCTGGATGAAGAATTATTGAGAAATCCATTGAAGATCCGCGAAAGCTGGCTTTAATATAAGTATTTTTATTCGAGTTTTTCTTGTGTGAAGATAACCTCCCCTCCTCCCTCCCCCCGATTGAGATTCTCACTAGGCTCATATGTGAACATAGTAAGAAAATTTTTGCTATCACGCAAATGTGACATTGGTCTCTCATAAAAGATCGTTGCATCACACATGTGTGACGCTAGTGGCGAAAGTGATGAGTACTACGTAAATATATTTATATATGTATTTTATAAATGCACTCGATGAGAAACTCACCTATGATGCTGTAAGAGATCTCGCCATTCTTGCCCTCGTCAAGATCGGTCGCGGCTACGGTGTGGATCCCGAAAATCTCTTGATTTTCCGGCACGGCGAGGGTGTAGCAAGAATTCGGCCGGAATTCCGGGCTGTTGTCGTTCTCGTCCATCACGATTACCTCCAGAGTGGTGAGGTCCAAGAGCTTGCTCGATCTCGCTAAGATGGAAACGGAGTAACGCGCGGCTTTCTCACGATCCAGAGAACCTCCGAGAGTGACTAAACCGCTAGGAGCTATGAAGAACTTGTTCGAAGCTACGTCGGCTGGTATGCTGAAGGTGACGTTCCCTGCGTAGCGGAATCAAAAATTCATCCTGGTACGCTGCATAACTCCATGCAATATTTACAGCCCTCCTCCTCCTGCTGTCTCTTCGATATCGTCTCAGCCGTTCCACGCAAGTTATCATTTCCGCAAATTTCCAACGATATGCTCGTCATAAAGCGTACTTATACTTATTTTGCTCGCGTCTCTCTAAATACCTCCTCCGCGGGCGTTCATAATTTTTTACTAACTTCGTCGCATTTTAAATACGCACAAACAGTGCGTAACAGTGCGTGGATAACTTCCAATTTTGATTCTTTACTCGGGACCGGCGCATGCTGCATTATCATCCTGGCGCACGATTTAAATCATATTTCCCGCGGCACCGGCGACTTCATCCGGTGACTTCAATGCCCGAGCAGAGACGTTCGACGCAGACCGCGCGGTGACTTCAATGCCCGGCCGCGCGCGACGGTCACGGTAGACCTTAATGCCATTCGATTCTCGAATTCCAGCGCTTAGCGCCCGTGCTCGTGCGGATTTTTAACGGACTTAGAAACACAAAGCGGGACGACTCGCGGCGGTTTAACGTGCACGAGCGCGCGGGCGCTCCTCGAGCGTGTGCGTCTCGCCGTGACCACCTTCCGTCGTGTTTCCAGCGAGTAGTCGCGGCGACATCGCGTGTACACACGCGTGTGCACACGCGGCGCCACGGCGTGTATGACGGCGTCGGTGTTGGTGGGAGAGTCGGTGATTTGCCTATGCGTGCAGGCCGGCGGCACGATGATATACGCGGCCATTGTTTCGCCTCGTCCTCTCTAATGCCCCCCCCCCCCCCCCCCCCCCCCC